ATATATATATATATACATAATATAAAGAAATGAAAAAGTTTTTTTTTTTATATCATAATTATTAAATAATTTAAGTTTTTTTTTTTTTTTGTAGTTTGATTGATTTTTTTTTTATTAGATTTAAATACTATGATACTATGCGTGGAATAATATTTATTACTATTATTATTACTACTACTGATATTATTAAAAAATTGTAATGAAAATATTATTATATAAATATATATATATATTACCCGTTGCTTGTAACTTCCATAAAAAATCAAGTCGATAAGTTGAATCCGTTTGTTGACTGTGTATAACGAGAGCAGTTAAAAAACAAATTAAAACCAATCCTGTTAATTGCTTCGATGAAAATAAATAATGGATGCTAAAAAAAATTAAGAGAAACCAGATTTTAATGATCGACATTACACGTAAAAACATAAACATTAAAGTGTATTATTATTATTATTATTACTTGATTAAATTAGTAAATATTTCGGGTACTAAAAACCATTGCAAAATTAAAAAACTAATGCATATGAAAAACAACGTTGCAAATTTCATAGGCCATGTAAGGATTTGATAAACGGCACACATGATCATCGTAATGAGAACATTTTGTAAAACGTACTGGAAAAAAAAGGAAAAATTAATAATGATGATGATAATAATTATTAGTATTATTATAAAAAAACTCACTCACCTCTAATACGAAATAATCTTTACGACAAATTTGATTGTCAATTTTTGAAACGTTTCGACATTCATTATTTGGAATCGGATCGGGCACGACGAAAAGAGATGAAAGGGAAAGAAAATACGTAGCAAAAATAACGATTAAACCGATAGCTTGTGGAACGGATCTTTTCTCTTGAATTTTTTCCGATAATATTCTTAATATTCTTAATTTGTGATTGTGTCCGAGAAGTATGTAATTGATTAAAAAAATAAAAATTTCACCCAGCGTAATGAATAAAATAATTATGGGAGAACTGCAAAAAAATGAGGGGGGAAAAAAAAAAAATTAATTAAAATGTTTATTTAATTTGTTTAAAAGACAGACAGACAGACAGGCTTACAAAGATGTTATTATTAGTTGAATGAGAGAAAGACATGAGAAAATCCATAAACTGCACACGTAATAAGTTGTCAACATTCTATCTTTTTCTCTAGAATATTTTTCTTCGATTGATTTTTTTCTAAACGTGAGAAAAAAATGCGTGCAATGTTCGGATCGAAGTCTGTCGATGCTTCTGGCATCGATGGCTCTCATTAAATATTCGTTGACTTCATCCTCCGGATCTTTTTCTTCTATCGTTTCCGGTTTTCCCAAACCGATCCTGTATTTTTTATTTACGTAAATTATAATGACAATTAATTTAACCGTTCGTTAATGAAATTAATTCGATCTTACTTGGAATGTTTAATTTGTTGCGAACCGTGTCCCATGACTCTCATTTCTTTGGATACGTTTCCATTCATCGTAAACGATGATTGATGTTTTGTCGTGTTCTGTAAATGTCACCCGAAAGTAGAATTTAATTAATTTTTTTTGTTTTAAACGTTAATTCCATAAATGATTATTTCACTTACCGGTCTGGGTGATGTTGATGGAACGATTAGGTACGTTTCAATGTTTTGATCTCTTAAATATGAGTTACGTTCTCCACCGTGACCGGGTTCTGTTTTGTATTCACCATTTAAACAAGCCAAAGTTTCTTTAGTGATGTGAACTCTCCTGGGGAGAAAAAATTTAAGTCATTTATTTCCTGTTTTTTACGTTTCACATAGAAAAAAAACTCACGTGTTTTTACCCGGGTATTCCTCCGCTTTCCATATAATTCGCTAGGGTGACATCATTAGACCAAACGTCGAATTGCCATTTTCTAAGGCCTAAAACACCACAATGTACCCTTCCGGAATGAATTCCAACTCTCATGTTAACATTAACACCCATAACATCTCTTACCAATCTGCAAAATTGTTATAATTTAGCGATGGGTTTTTTTTTTTTTTTAAAAATCAAAAGAGTTTTTTTTTTGAGAATTGAGA